ACTCACAACCTTCAGAGTGCTACCGACTGAGCCAGGCTGACATAATAATAATAATATTAATAATAATAATAATAATAATCTTTGCATTTGATATTGTCATGTCTTTGAGATGTCTCAAAGCGCTTCACAGAATATACTATAAAGTGAATTGTACATTTTGGGGGCGAAATGCAGCAGCCAATTGCGCACAGCAGTATTCCACAAGCAGTCGTGGATTGAGTCGTGAATAATTGCAGTGGGACAGCAGTGCAAGCATCGGTGGAACCTGAGAGAGAGAGAGCTGGAGTCTTGGCATCTGATGTGAGTCAGGGTCTCTCACCATCCCCTCCCTCTGCCAAAGGGGATGACACCAGAAGTCTAAGCTTCCACTACGTCACAATCTCATGATCTGTAATATAATAATAATAATCCTTGCACCTTGCATTTGTGGAGTCCTGTAGCTCAGTGGTTAGAGCACTCACTTTGCAAGCGAGAGACCTGAGTTCAATTCCAGGTAGAGGGCGAAACCTTGGGCAAGTTTCCTTACTCCACACAGAGCCTAATAATAATCCCTCCAAAACAAAAAACAGTAATAAATTGGTCAATCTACGACTGTTTGTGGGACATTGCTGCGCAATCGGCTGCCGCGTTCGCCCACAAATATACAGTCAATTCACTTTACAGTGTGTTCTGTGAAGCGCTTTGGGACGTCCTCCCGACATGAAAAGCGCTATATCAAATGCAAGGATTATTATTATTATATAGCACCTTATCACGTCTTCAAGACATTTCAAAGCGCTTCACAGAATATACAGTACTTTAAAGTGAATTGACTATATTCTGTGGGCAAAACGCGGCAGTAGTGTCCCACAAACAGTCGTAGATTAATTGAATAAATTAATAATTTATTATTATTTTTTTTGAAGGATTTATTACCCCTAGAAGAGCGTTCCGCCAATCAACTCACAAACGGGTTCCTACTTACTGCTAGGTAAACAGAGGCATGTAGAGGAAGGAAACTTGCTCAACGTTTTGCACAGAGTTATTGCCGGAGGCAGTAGCTGACAGATCAGCTCTGCCAGTAAGGGCTTATTCTCAATCTTGCTTTGGAGAATGAGAATAAGCTGTTCAGTAAACATGTTGCACGTTTCAACATGAAGACACTAAAATATACCAACACCCATCACGAGAGCTCCAGGACTACATCATTAGGAAGTCAAAAGTTCTTAAAATCAATAACTTTTCTGGAACAGATGAACTGCACCTCAGGGTTCTTAGGGAGACGAGGGAAGATAGCTATGAAGGACTGTCAGACATTTACAGGGAGTCCATTATCTTGATGTCCTCCTGATGGGAGGCACCATATTAATGTTAATTGTATTAGCTAACATCCTTTTCCTCTTTGTTCAATGTCTCCTATTGTCTTTGCAAAGAACATTGAATCATTCATCCAATATGAAAAGTGCAATTTTTTGGTGGTTGAATCACTAATCAGAAGCAAAACATAAATAACTGGTGGTGAAAAGAACAGGCAGCATGGCTTCAGTGAGGTAGGTCTTGTCTTGAACCTCAATTTGCCTGTGGAAAGCTATACAACATGTTGTACCTAGACTTCCAAAGACCTTTGATAAAATGCCACATGAAAGATGACCAATTTATCAATGAAGACACCGGGTATCAAGAGTAAGACATGGACATGATTTAGTAACTGGCAAAACAAGTAGTTATTAGAGCTACCAGAGGGCAGCGATTAGGGAAGGTCGATTGAATAGGGGGATAATAATAATAATAATCCTTGCATTTGATATAGCACTTATCACGTCTTCTAGAAGTCTCAAACCACTTTACAGAATATGCTGTAAAGTGAATTGACTGTATATTTGTCAGTGAAACGCGGCAGCCAATTGCGCACAGTAGTGTTCCACAAACAGTCGTGGACTAAAAATGACCAATTTTTTTATTATTATTTTGCTTTTTTGGAGTGATTATTATTACAACGGCAACAACAACAAGATTCCATTTATAGAGCGCCTTTCACGTCGGGAGGACGTCCCAAGGCGCTGTACAGTTGGGTCAGGACCCGAGCAGGGGGGGAAATGGTCAGGGTGAGGGGAGGGAAGGGAGGGAGCGAGGAGGGGGTAGAGATTCGAGAGGGGAGCTGAAGGCACGGTCAAAGAGAAAGGTCTTGAGACCTTCCTTGAAGGAGGAAAGGGAGGAAGCGGCGAAGGCACTGGGGGATAGAGTTCCAGAGCCTCGGGGCTGAGAGGCTGAAGGACCGGCCACCGATGGTAGGGCGGTTGGGGCGGGGGATGTGGAGCAGACCGGAGCCAGAGGAACGGAGGGTATGGGCAGGTAAATAGGGGGATAGTAGGTCAGAGAGGTAGGAGGGAGCAATGGCCTTGTAGGTGAGGATGAGGATTTGAATTCGAGCCATGTGGAATAAGAAAATTTGGCCAAGGTTTAGCCCTGCCTGGAATTGAACCCAGATGTCTCGCTTGCAAGGCGAGTGCTCTAACCACCGAGCTACAGGACTCCCCCTGTAGTATTGAGTGTGGTGCCTGAGGGTCCCTTATTGAGAATCCTTCTGTTCCTTATAATGCCCCTGGAATTGCAGACTGGCAGAGACCCAAGAACAGCTAATCTTGGCTTTGGAGAGAATGAGAATAAGCCGTTCAGTAAACATAGTTCAGTAAACATGGCAAGCTAGTCACACGTGATACCAACTGAGGGGTAACTGTGGGTTTAGAGGACACAATCAAGATCTAACAAAGAGAACATTACTCTTGAGGGAGTCGACACAGGGCTGAATGGCCTTTTCACTCGGCTGTACATTTCTATGGTTCTAACTCAGTAGAGCATATGCCTGGTCAAAGTCAAATGACATTCCCAAAACAGATAAATACAAGGTATGGAATATATAAAGTAAAACTACACAGGCTCCATAGATAATAATAATAATAATCCTTGCATTTGATATAGCGCCTTATCAGGTCATTGAGACGTCTCATAGCGCTTCACAGAATATAAAGTATAGTGACTGTGCATTTTGTGGGCGAAACGCAGCAGTCAATTGCGCACACCAGTGGCCCATAAAACAGTCCAGACAGATACTTTCCAAGAGGGGAAGTGTGTTTCAGGAATGAATTATGCGAAAAGACTAGATAAGCTAGGAAAGCCTTGGAAAGAGATGTCTCAGTGGGGAATTTAAAGACAGTTTATAAGATAGTTCAGTGGGATAAAGAAAACTCAGAAAAACGGGCTTCACTGGAGACTATCTTAGATTTATAATAATCCTTGCAATTTGTATATATTGTATTTCCTTGTTTGGAATTCACTAACACGTGGAAACGGCCCACTTTATTGAATCCTTTCATAATTTAGAACAACTCTTATCAAGTCCCCTCGCAGTCGTCTCATCTCAAGGAAGTCTTTGCAAAGCCCATGTCAGTTAATGTAGCGCCACCGTGTGGTGGAATCATCTTAATACAAAAACCCATCCATCCAGATGTGCAGAATCCTAGTGAGTCTTATCGACTACACACTGAGACTTCCATTCATTCTTGGATGAGACATTAAACTGAGACCCCAACATTAAACTGTTTGGGTGGATATTAAAGATCCTTTTCAAAAAGAGAAGGGAGTATCTCCCTATGTCTTGTGTAACAAACTCCCAATAAAATTGGCCGTTCGCTTAATGTTTGTTCAACTCACTTTCCTCTCCCCAGATGCTGCCTAACTTGCTGAGTGGTCCCAGCGACTTGTTTTTAACTCGGACTTCCAGCATCTGCATTATTTTGCCTTTTTTTGTCCCGAGGGTGATCAGCCTGCCTGTCCAGACTTCGGTTCTAACCTGCCGGATTGCTCAAAATGAATGTTGCTGTGGAGAACATCGGTGTGTGAAACATGGATTGTAGCCCTCCTGATGAATACTGTTTTATCATCATCATTGTGGAGTCCTGCAGCTTAGTGGTTAGAGCACCCGCCTTGCAAGCGAGAGGACCCGGGTTCAATTCCCGGCAGGGCCAAGTGAAATGTTGGGCAAGTTTCCTGACTCCACACGTCTCTGTTTGCCCAGCAGTAAGTAGGAACCCGGTTGTTAGTCGATTGGCGGATCGCTTTTCCGGGAACAATAAATAACTCCCGCAAGATAATTTTTAAACAAATAATAAATGAAGTCACTTCAATCCCTGACTGTTTGCGGGGGGGGCACATGGCTGCCGCGTTTCGCCCACAAAATATACAGTCGATTCACTTTACGGTTTATCCTGTGAAGCGCTTTGAGACGGTCTTGAAGGCGTGATCAGGCGCTGTATGAAATGCCAGGATTATTATTATTATTATTATTATGATCACCATCATCACAGTGCAGATGGAATATTATTGGGAGTATCTAGAAAGTTTTGATTAGTCTGAAATTATATATGGCAATCTGAAATTTGGGGGGCAAAGAACTAGCCTTTTTTTGGAGCCGGACGGTAATTACTATCAAATGCAGTGACTTGATGGTATCTAAAATCTGAATGTTGCTTTTTGCCCCTTAACAACATTTAATATTGTGGAGTCCTGTAGCTCAGTGGTTAGAGCACTCGCTTTGCAAGTGAGAGACCTGAGTTCAATTCCAGGCAGAGGGCGAAACCTTGGGCAAGTTTCCTTACTCCACACAGAGCCTAATAATAATCCCTCCAAAACCAAAACAATAATAAATTGGTCATTTTCAATCTACGACTGTTTGTGGGACATTGCTGTGCGCAATTGGCTGCCACGTTCGCCCACAAATATAGTCAATTCACTTTGCAGTGTTCTGTGAAGCGGTTTGGGACGTCCTCCCGACGTGAAAAGCGCTATATCAAATGCAAAGATTATTATTATTATTATTATCACCCTGATGATGATGATGATGATGATGGACAGTGCAGTTGGCCCTTTAAGACCGTCACTGCTGCTCTCCTCGTCATGGGGGGGGGGGGGGGAGAGACGAGAGTTGGCGCCGAGGTCTCGCGAGATTTGGGGTGTCTTCTCCGCGGCGCCGGGAGCGGGCGCCATCTTGTTTCCCCCTAAAATCCCCCGCCCGCGATCAAAAGGAAGCGGGAGAGGCAGCAGCTGCCGCCGAGAGCGGGGACGGAGAAGGGCCGGGGAGGCTGACAGACGGCGCGGCTGAGCACGACGCCGGTTGACTGACGGGTGAGTGGGTTACGGGGGAGCGCGGGCTGGGCCGGGCCGGGTGGTGTTCGCCCGCCCGCTCGCTCTCTCTCGCGCGCGCTCTGTCTCGGTCTCTCTCTCCCGCGCCATCTTTGCCCCCGCTCTCGCCGCTCCCCTCATTGGTGGACGCGGGCCGGAGGTTTGATTGGTCTGAGGGGAGGGTGGCGGCTTTCCTCGCCATTGGCTCCAGAGCGGCACCGGGACCGGCAGCTCCGCCGCTCTGTGACCGAGGCGGTGGCAAATCCCCTGCATGGGATCGCATCGCCCGGCCTTCCTCTCCCCTTCATCACAAACCGCCGCCATCGCCGCTCTTCCTCTCCCCCCTCTCCCCCCGCGGCTATTGCCGCTACGCGCCGGTCAAACTTGATCGACCGTGATCTGGGCCAATGGCGGCGCTGCCTCGCGCTGATTGACAGTGGATTGGTCCCAATGAGCGCGCTCCGAGAGGGCGAAGGGGGCGGGGCGGGTGCTTCACCAGCAGGTTAGGTTGCCTTTCGGCTTGGCAAGGCGCTCAATGTTGGCCACACAAATCTTTGCGAGGGGGCGAGAGAGGGGGAGGAGGAGAGAGAAGGGGAGGGAGAGAGAGAGAGAGAGAGAGGGGGAGAGAAAAAAGTTTATTTGTGGCGGTTTGTGCAGCGCTTGCTTGTTCAAAGAGGAAATGTATGCATTGAGACAGGAGCCGGAGGCAATCTGCAACGGTCAAGTTAGTCTTTTTAGTGTTTCTCCCCCCTCCCCCCCCCCCCCCCCGGCGCCTTTTACGACTCCTCACATTTCTTTTGCTGCCACAAACCGTGGCTCCGTTGGTTTAATTTGCTGCTGTTTTGTCACTCCCCAGGTCGGCTTTGGGTGCACAAGCCGGGGGTTTGGTCCGCCCTTGTGCCTGGTCACAGCACAAGTATTTATGATTGTAAATATATATATATATATATATACGAAGTGACTGGTAGGATTTTGTGTGTGGGTGTGTGTGTCTTGACACACGCTGAAGTCCATCACCCTAACCAAACCAAACCAAACTGAGAATTCCATGCGTCCCACTTCACCTATACGTGGAAATTTCCGCGTATCGGAAGGGGATGCACACTCGCCCCTTGGAGGGACGGTCCCTTTTGGGTCCCCTAAGGGTATCGCCGGAGAGTGTTGGGTGCATGCTGGCAAGAGTCGATAGTTGGTGACTCCAGAGTGTGCATTGGGGTTACTGCTGGAGTTGAGCAACAACAAAATCAGCATAACTTTGTCATTGAAAGTACACTTTGGCAAGCGTTCTCGCTGCTTGTCCGTTTGGGCTTCAGCTCGCAGGGTCAACAAGCTGAGTTGGGAAGAATCCCTGTCCCCATTAACTGGTCTGCCAAGTCGATGAGCCAGGCTGGCTCCTCTGTCATTAGCAGTGCCCTGGAGTACTGCCGAGCTACCTGGCTCATGAACTGGACTACTAAAACCCCCACTGAGGGTTGCATTGCCAATTCAGCTCCAAGAACATCCTGCTTTCCTTCCCTTCCCCCTCGAGAGCATTGTCGTAAGTTGGTCAATACAGAAAATGTGAGATGTTGATGATAATTGGTCAGAAATGAAAGCTTTATAGGCAAGCATGACAGCCCCAATGTCCACAAATAACAATTAGATAATTGAATTAATTAATCAGTTATTTTGTGTCGCACCTAACTTTTTAAAAAAAAATTGTATGATACATCCTTCTGATGTGTACGGCGCTATATAAATGCAATTTGTTGTTGTTGCTTGATCGCATTTAAATATAATTGGAAGTGTACGGTGAATCGTCATTGATTGTTTTGTAAGAAGAGGGCCATGACCATGAGGTGAATCCCAAATTATCTGATAGTTTTTGACCAAGACAATGAAAGAAACAACCTCCTTATATCCAATAGTGCCACCAGATCTTCAGCGTCCACCTAAAAGGAGCGATGATCCAAATTTTGCATTAATGGTTGCTGCAAGCACAGATAGACTTTGAGATATTGTACTGTACTGGGTGGACAGCAAGTTGTATGTTATATTTTCTTAAAACTTGAGATGGTCCTAGATCCTTCTGTCTTTAAGCTCAGTGCATAACAGTATTTGTAAGCACTCCGGGATGCTACCCTGCATGAAGGGCGCTATATAAATTCTGTTGTTGTTTTGGCTGTTCAGCCTATTCTTTCTCCCATACCACACCTGTGTCAGCCTGGCTCAGTGGTAGCATCTCACCTTTGAGTCAGAAGATTATGATTGCAAGCCCCATATTTGAATTCACGCAGTCTAGGCTGATGTTTGAATTCACACTGTCTAGGCTGATATTTCAATGCAATACTGGGGGTGAATTGTATTAGTGGAGGTACTGTCCTGCAAGTGAGAGGTTAAACTGACGTCTCGTCAGGTGAACGTTAAAGGTTCCATGGCATTAGTCAGAAAGAGAAAGGAGTTTTCCCTCCAGTCCCGGCCAACAATCCCCCAAATGAAATTGGTAATTTATTTCATGGCTGTTTGTGGGTTATTGCACAAGAATACAAAATACAGTTACTTCAGTAAATCCTGTAAGGAACTTTGATACATCCTTCTGACACGAAAGGTACTATGTTAAATGCAAGTATTATTATTTTACCTACCCAGCGCCAGTATCTTTCACATTGGGAGCATATTGGGGGTGGATGGTGGAGGAGAGTTGGAGGGAGGCAGTATGGAGTTCCAGAGAACTGGTTGAGATGGTTTATAGCTCAGTGGATTGGGCAGGTGATGTGAAACAAGCCAGTATTTGCTGAGTGGAGAGCGCAATGACAGGTGGCGTGAGACTGTGAAGGCATTTGAAAGTGAGGGCAAGCATCTTGAATTTGATGGGGTTGGGGCACTGGTCCTTCAGAAAATGGTCTGTGGAGCCTGGTGCTGGAGAAGATGCAAAGAGAGTTCTGTGTGGTGTGCAGCTTGTGTAGGGAGGAGCTGGTGATCAGAGTGTTGGAATAATTGAGCCTGGACATGATGAAGGTGTGAAGTCTCTGCCCATCCCAGAAGGAAAGTTAGCTCAGAGAGCTACTGGCAGAGACTGGTAATGTTGTGGAGGTGAGGAAAGAGCAAGTGAGAGCTTGGAAGACAGGAATGACCGTTGGGGACCCAGGGCACAGAGCATCTGAGCAGGTGGTGGAGAACAGAAACCTACACTTATCACTGGCCTCCAGTATGATCCTAAAGTAGAAAACTGATTTGGCTGAAGCAAAAATCGTAGACTTTGATGTGGTATGCTGCTGTGCATGACAAGTATACAAATTGTGCAGAAGAAAGTAGGGTTGAGGTGGGCAGAGAGCAAGGAGTACAGAGGACTTGAGGATAGTTGGAGGGGGGGGGGGAGATTTTTTTCCCCAAGGGCAGAATGGAAGGAGAATAGTAAATAGAAAAAATGGAAGGAGATGGTTTGGCAAAGATGGAGAGGCCTTGGGTAATGAGCAGGTCAAGGGGTGAAGGTGTGGGTGAGGCAATTGCTATTTGAAGGAGGAGTGGAGGCAGAAAAGGTAGCAGAAATAGGGCAGGCATGACATGAAGGTTGAATAGGAGGCAGGAAGTAATGTGCCAGAAGGTTTGGGGAGGAGTACGGTAGACAAAATGATTTTGAGGGAGCGATTAGTAGAGGGACAGTAGAAGTTAAAATTGAGGTGCTTAAAGGAGACGAAAGAGCCAGAGGAATAAGGAGAGAGACTATTCTAATTATCTTAATCCTTGCATTTGGTGTAACTCCTTTCACTTCGAGAGGATATCTCAAAGCAAACTAATTTGAGATCTGAATATGCCACAGCCATGCCACTTAGTGCAGGAATAATAATAGCAATCCTTGCATTTGTTAATAGCGCTTTTCACATATAGTGAATATGCTGGAAAGTATAGAATGGTATGGCAGCTTCGATGAGAGATGATGGTAATGCTGAGATGAGGTGGAGAATGCCGATGTTTTTGTCCAGGATGACTGACGCGCACCCTTATCTGCGTGGTCCTTCAGGACAGTGAACAAGCAAAAATTAGTGTCTACCACAACTCCCAAGTACCGATGAGTATCAACAATTAGGACTGTTGTATATTCCAATCAATATGTTTGATGTCTACTCTTGTGCCATGCAGAACCATGATTCCTCAGGCAAGAACCAAGAACGGATTATCAATAGAGTAAAACTAACCTGTCTTGCAACAGTCTAAACCCAGCTCACATTCACTGTTAGTGTGGGTGAACAATCCAATGATTGGTGAATTCTGCTTCATAATGAAAGAAAGAGTTGACATCGAATAATCAAAAAGTGACATTGCTATTTACTTAATGCTTGGCTGTCATTTTCTGATATTTCCTGCTTAAAAACCCAGAAGGTTTGACCATTTCTATATTACTGACATTAGTTTCCAACCTGGCTCAATTTGGTAGTACTCTGGTTGTGATGACAAATAAAATTTAACACAGAAAAGTTTGTTGCACATTTTGGGAGGAAAAATAAGAAGAGAAACTACATACGTACTAGTAATTAAAAAAATGTAGTGAAATTGTGCCTTTCAATCGGGAACATTTATCGAAGTGCTTCACAGGATTTTTACTGAAAAGTCTAATGACTTTATTTTGTAGACAAAATGAAGTGAATGACCAAAGAACAATACTTCCAACAATGTAGTTCACCCCCAGCAGTGGAATGAAGTGTCAGTCACGACTATAATAATAATAATCCTTGCATTTGATATAGCGCATTTCACGTCGGGAGGACGTCCCAAAGCGCTTCACAGAACACACTGTAAAGTGAATTGACTGTATATTTGTGGGTGAACGCGGCAGCCAATTGCGCACAGCAATGTCCCACAAACAGTCGTAGATTGAAAATGACCAATTTATTATTGTTTTGTTTTGGAGGGATTATTAACTTCAAAGTGAGATTCCCACAATATCGGTAAATGTACTTAACATGTATGTTTACGTGTATATTTACTTAAACATCTACTTAACAAACACCCCAGTATTTCAGTGC